CTTCCTTCTCTCCCCTCTCCCTCCAGGCCCGTCTTCCTCTCTCCTTCTCTTCTTTCCTTCCCTCCTTCCAAGAAGTGGGTCCCTATCTGTAAATGAAGTTCCCTAACTGAAGCAGTTGGGAGCAGACCCGGTCTGAACAAAGGCTGAGCTCACTTTTTGTGGCCCCTGAGTCATCACCTTAGAAGCCACAGCTCGGAGAGTCTGGGCTTGACTTGAACTGACTTAGGTCAGCTCCTTCATTTGATAGGAAACTACGGTTTGGGGGATGAACTGATTTCCCCAAAGTAAGCCAAGAGTGCCCTGACCTCCAGTCGAGGGTGTTACTCTGACACACTTTCTCTCTTACGGACATTTGCAACATGATGCTAAATAGGCCATCAAGTTAAAAGTGGCTTGGAGTGTAGAATGAATCAATATAATTTAGTTTGCATGGCAAATTCCAATACATCTGATCTGGAAAGGTTCAAACAGTGGCATAATCAGGACTGGCCGAGGCTGGGGTGGGGGAAGAAAGAAGCAAATGAAAATCACAGAAGTTTACAGTCAGACTCATAGTGTTGTATGTTTTCTCCACTATGTTTTTTGTCATCATTTGATTATAAATTATTAACAGGAAACACAAAGTCCTGTGTGATCAAAGGTGCGATTGGCCAGGGCATCCAGGCTGTTTGGGTCTCTGTTTCCTCCATAACCTGTGAGGACTTTGAACCCAATGGTCTTGAAGTTTTTTCCATTAGAAGAGCCTTATGATTCTCTGAAATACTATGCTGTGCTACTTGAAATGCAGCCAATACTAAAATTCTGTCTTCATTCTGTATGATGGCAGATGTGCATTAAAGAAAGAGTAGTGGAGAGCGAAACCAGGCAGAGGGAATGCCTGCCACACTCCTATTCATTCTTCAAGTCCCCACACAAAAGTCCCCTCCTCCGAGGAATTTTTCTTTTGCCTGGGGTGGGTTTTTCTCATTCACATTTTTGCTCCCTTAAACCACTCTATCCACTTGTTTAAATGCTTAGAATCTAACACAGTACCTGGAGCAATAAATCTTGACAATATTGTTTCATAAATAAAGATGTTGAGAAATTGTAATGCTTGCTAAAATTGTCACTGGCAAAAAATGTTTGCTAAGACTGTTTTTTTTCTCTCAGCCAAACCGAACCAACTAGGCTAAATCCTCAAATCACCACTTTAGAATTACTATAATTTGTTTAAATTTTTTTTTAAATGTAGCGTTGCAAGAATCCCTAAAATCTTTATTTCATTACCTTCCACCGAGAAACCCCAATTTTCAGCTCTGAAAGAGAGCAATATCCATTTCATCCTATAGCCAACACATTTTCTTTCATGGAGAAGCAACTTCAAATCATATCTTTATGATATTATTACAAGATATTTTAAAATCTTGTTGTATTTTTCCAACCAGTGGCACAAGCAGGGTGAGCTTTGGCGTCTTGTCTGGGGGCTAGAAAAGCTGCGTGGAACAAGAGGGTCGGTGCACAGACCCGAGGCCCCCACACCCCCCTCAATAGCAAAGTCTAAGACCTCAGAGAACAGACTCACCTTCTTTGACGCTCAGCCGTGGGGACTGGTCTGCGTGGGAAGTGGAGTTATAGGTCAACAGTGAACCTGAAAGGCAAAGCAAAAGCGGGTTAGAACCAAGACAGTCTCCTGAGATGAACAGTAGGAGGTGAGATGAGAAGGGAGTGGGAGGGGAAGAGGGACAGATGAGTCCTTGAGAGAAAGAAAAAAATGAATGGAATCCATTCTGAGGACTGTCACAGCTTCCTGGAGTTAGGGTCAGACACCCACAAGCCCTCCCCAGCAGCCTTCAGGCCCCAGGGCTCCTCGGGGTCCATGCCATGTCATGTCAGGAACACGGAATGGGGAGTCAGCACACCAGGGCCTGTCCCGGTCCTGCCCCTAACACCCCGTAAGCAGCTTTATATGTCTAGACCTTGATTTCTTCATCAGAAAATGATGGTTGAGCTGCAGCAGGGGCTGGCACACTCAAAGGCCAGAGAGTACATACTTCGGGCTCTGCAGGCCTGAGACACAGCCTGTCGCACATTCTTCTGTGTTTTTGTTCTGTTTTGTACACAGGCCAGCGCTGGCCAGTGTTGGCCGCCGCTCTTGGTCTCCTGGCCCTGCAGCAGAAGACAGTGCATCCTCCTGCTCTGCTGGCCTCTGGGCTTCTCTGCAGGTCCTTTTGCTGGTGGGCAAGGCCCTTGGAGAGTCACTGCAGGGGAGGGGTGATGGGGGTTGGGAAGGGGGTGGGGGTGGCTGCTCTCCCAAGAGCCACTTTGCCTCCTTTTGCACGTGTCTAAAAGAGAAGACAACTAAACCTGAGGCATAATCCTGGATTTCCTGTCATCCCTGAGTGTTGATAGACAATCTTTTAAAATGAAACTTTAGTGCTCCCCTAGTCTGTATCGGGCACTAGTACAGGCCTTTTGAAGGCAGGATAGTTTTTGTCTCAGCCGGGTGGCTCAGATGGTTGGTGGTGTCCCGTACACTAAAAAGGTTGTGGTTCCGACTCCCGATCAGGGCACACACCTAGGTTGTGGGTTTGATCCCCGGTGGGGGCATGTACCGGAGGCAACCGATTGATGTTCTTCTCACATCGATGTTTCTCTCTCTCCCTTTCTCTCTCTAAAATCAATAATCATGTCCTCGGGTGAGGGTTAAAAATAAAAATATAAAAATAAAGGCGTGATAGTTTTTTGTTGTTGTTGCTCATAAAACTAGCCCTGTTCCTTAGATTCAAGGGCTTTATTTTGTAAAATGTAAGCACTTTTTTTGCAATTCTCCTTCACATTCTCCTGGGGAAACTCTAAAGTGCCATCAAGACGGGGGCTGGAATCTGCTTTTACAGAGGACGCGGCCACCAGCTTGACATAGGCGCTTGAGGCTGAACAAGTCTTTCACAACAATCCCTCCCCCTGCTCCCTGGGGACGAGCGGACTGGCCTGGGTGCCAGGGCTTGGAGCAGGGAACGGGCTGGCAGACACTCCTATTTTTAGTCTCAATCATGGCAGGGATGCAGGAGTGAGCTGCTGCCTCGCCCAGCTGTGGGCGTTTGGTTGCGTGCCTCAGAGAAAATGTGTGCCCTTCCCAGCCAGACGCCGAGAGAGAGAACTTGGTAAAAACCATCCAGCTGCCTAGAACCTCTGACTTCTGGCCTGGGTGACTTATTTTAGCTCTGAAATAGTTCCAGACAAAAAAGAGGAGGGCGGTGGTGAGATTGAGACTGCTGGATGCCGGAGTGTGGCTACGTGGATACCGTTTTAGAAACGAGACAGTCACAGGCGTGCGACATCCAGGAACCAGGTGCCTCTGGTTAGTGCATTCTCAAAAATATTAGGGACAAAGGGAGGCTGGGACAACCTCTTCTTAATTAGTAGTTATGCAAATCAGGGTTTAAAATTAGCCCTGCCTCTTATCACTTAGTAACCCTGTAACATCCATCAGTTTAGCTAATCTCTCTAAGCCATAGGCTCTTCATATATAAAATGGGCTAATGATAACACCAAATACGGCTTTGCGGGGATTAAATAAAATGATACACATAAATCGCTCAGCAAGACCTTGGCTCAAAATAAGTGTTCAATAAATGCTAGGTACTATCATTGCTATTTTTATATCCCTTCTCCCACAGACACCACAATTATGTACACAATAAACCGGCTATAAAGAGCTTGCTGAACATTAGCCTGTCCTCTGGAATCAGAGTTACGAACGGGCTCTCTGGCAATGAGAAATAATCCCCACGGCTGGAAGGAGGTGAAGAAATGGAACCAAACGTTCCAAGGGAATCGGAAAACGTCTCAGGGGTAAGACCAAGAATGTCTGTCTCTGTGTCCCCGACACTCTCTCCCCCAGGCTGCAACCTCGCGGCTGGAGCAAATAGAGAAAAATGGTCTCGGAGGAGCAGGCTGCCTGAGTCATTAGTGCAGATTTAGCTGAGAGCACGCAGCTCAGATAAACCACATTTATTACATTCCCCGTGGTGAAAGTTCTTGTTCGGGCACACGTGAATTCCACAGGAAACTCCCAGAAAGCAAGAGAAAGGGTCGTTTGACCTCGGCAAAGCTCGCATGAAATACATATTTCATGGTAGCCTAGGAAAAGGGTTGTGCCCTGAAGACTGTTCTTGGTTCAGGTTTCACTCCTAGAAGGAGAGGCTGCCCTCCCTGAGGAGGGGCTGCCAGGGGCATCTGAGCCTCCCAAGGGACCAGCACTCCCTTCCCCTCCCTGATCCTCACAGTGCCCCAGGCTACGGAGGGTGGCACAGCGCACTCTTGTCTTAAGGGGACTCGTTCTGATGCGAGAAGGTCCTCCCTGGAGCCTGGCCTCCCCCTCTGTGGCCCTGGGTTTCTTTCTCCTGCTTTGAGGCTCCTTCTGCTTGAGGCTAAGGTGCGGCCGAGCTCCCGGTCTTTCCCGAGGCCACCTCCAGAGTAAACAGGCGGAGTCGAGGAGGGAGGAGGCCAGCACTTGGGAACAGGAGGTTGGCACCCCTGCTTGCTCACTGTGGCAGACGCTCTATATCTGTCCTCTCACTTAACCCTCACGAGAGCTGAGTAAAACCAGGGTCACGTGATGCCCCTTCCACAGCTGAGGGATTCAACATTCAGAGAAGTCAAGTAACTTGCCCAGGGTCACACAGCCACAAAGCCCAGGCCGCAGGAAGCCCAGTCTGGTCCAGCAGACCTTGCAGCCTGCAGGCTAACCCTAAGAAACAGACAACACTCACCGACAGTGTTGGAAGTCAGCACCGTGGTCACCTTTGGGGAGAGTGGGGTGAAGATGGAGAGAGGGCACAGGGGGCTTCTAGTCTATTCCTTGCCCTGGGGGCATTTAAACTGCTGAGTGGATTCCCTTTGGAGTTGCTCATTCATGATTTTTGCACTTCTCTGTGTGTCACACTTCAATTAAAACACCTGTTTACGTGCTTCTTTGTTTTGTGGCAGTGTGCGTATACAGGTGTATATCTATTTAGTTGGGACCCTGAGCAGCACTGAAGTGGCCGCTGCTGAGAAGGGAATGGCCTTCCAATGTGAAAACACAGGACAAAATCAGTCTCCACTTCGGAGGCCACCTGCCCTGGAGATAGCACTGGGGACCTGAAAGGAGATGGAAATGAGCAGAGCGAAGCCTTGTCAGTGGGGCAGAGCCCGACAATGGGGCTTTCTTCAGCTCCGCATCCCCCCACCTAACAGGCTCTTCATCGGGGACACCTGGAGCAGGAGCGACAACCGGTCCCAGTGCCAAGGCCTTTGTCTCCTGTCTCGAGGACAATTCTCTAGACCCCCCCCCCC